ATGCAAGTCTTCTAGCTTAATGCGTCAGCAACCACATTCGCTTTACCTAGATAGTATTTTAGCTCAAAATTATAATCTTTAAGAAGCTCCATCCACCTTCTTTGTCTCATATTTAGCTCTTTCTAATCTACCAAGTATTTAAGACTCTTATGGTCGTTAGACACATTGAATACTGCACCATATAGATAATGGTGCTAGATCTTTAAAGCAAACACCACTGCTGTAAACTCTAAATCTTGTGTAGGATATTCTCTTCATGTGGCCTCAATTGCCAAGATGCATATACTACCACTTAACCATCTTGCATCAAGACACATCCCAAGCATTTCAATGATACATTCATGTACACCTCCTAAAGTAACCTTAGATTAAGGAAAATCAACATTGGTATTGTGGTTAACTTCCCTTTCAGCTATTGAAATGCCATCTTGTACTAGTTATCCCATATGTAAGGTTGATTCTTACGAGTCAAGTTAGTCAAAGGAGATGTTATTTGAGAAAATCCTTAAATAAATCATCAAAATACCTAGCTAATCCCAAAAAACTATGTATCTCTGTGACTGAACTGCGATGCTCCCATTTCAATACTACATCAACCTTATACAAATCTAAAAAAATCCTATCCATAAATACCACGTATCCTAAAAATCAGACTTCTCCCAACCAAACATCACAATTACTAAGCTTGGTACATAACTTTTTATCTTTCAAAATCTAAAGCATCATCCTTAAATGCTTAGCATATTGCTCCTCATCCTCAGAATAGATTAGAATGTCATCTATAAAGACTATAAAAAATTGGTCCAAGTATGACCTAAATATTTGGTTCATAAAGTCCATGAACACTACAGGCATATTGATCAAACTAAACAACATAACCAGGAATTCATAATGTCCATATCGAGTTTTAAAAGCTATCTTAGGTACATCCATTACACTGACTCTCAACTGATGGTACCCTGACCTCAAATATATCATAGGAAACATTGATGCATCATTTAAATATATCCTTGGTAAAGGATACTTGTTCTTCACAGTTATCTTGTTCAACTGCCAATAGTCAATACAAAGATGCATACTACTATCTTTCTTTCTCACAAACAACACTGGTGATCCCTAAGGGGATATACTTGTCTAATAAATCCCTTGTCTAGTAAGTCTTCAATCTATTTTTTTAACTTTGCCAACTCTGATGGTGACATTTTATATGAGGCCTTTGACATTGGTTCAATTCCAAAAATTAAATTAATTGACAACTCTACTTCTCTTTCAGGAGGTAATCCAGTCACTTCATCTAAAAATACCTCTGGGAACTCGTTCACTACCCTGATCTTCTCAATTCCACCATCATACACTGAAATGGCAAAAAGAACACCATACACACATCACAACCCTGTCAGATCAACTTCTTAGCACTAATTATTGAAAAAAACTTAAACTGCTCAAAGGAACCCACTATTACAAACAATAATGGTAATGAAAACACCTTTTTGGCAAACTTAAGCATAGCATTATTCACCATTAGCCAATCTATGCTAATAATTACATCTATTCCTTTCATAGGAATACAAATTAGATTGATCATGGAAACTCTATCCTCAAATTGAATCTCTATGCCTTGACAAGCTCTAGTTGTAATGCTAGACAATCCAAAAGGCATCGTCACTCTAATGAGCACAGGTAACTCTTACAAAGATAGTTGCAATCAATCCATATGTTCCTCAAACATAAAAGAATGTGTGGCACTAAAATTAAATAACACTACTACTTAGTGACCATAAATAGAAATCATGCCTCAGATCAAGTTCGAAGATGCTCTAGCCTCTTCTTGTATGACTATAAATACTCAGCCAGGAATAATGAAATGCTGCTCAGTCCCTCAACTCTGCCCTTTGGGTACTGCCTGTCCAAATGCCCCGACTTGCCATACTTGAAGCAAACCCAATATCTTCTTGGATGAAATCGATCGTAAATGTTACACTGGGCGTCCTTTTAGTACTTAGGTTTAGTATTGTTACATTCGATGCTTGACTCCAAGACTGTGGAGGCTTAATTCTCACAGCCCCACTTCTTTATATTATCCCTTCTGTATTGATCGAGACTGAGACCCTCTACTAAAACCTTTTCTTCTGGATGAACTAGAACTGCTAGCACTAAACCCAGGCCTTTTTGAAACTCCACCTGTTAGACTCAAAGGTGATGAAAATCTCCCCATACTATCTCGCCTCCTCTCAACCTCTCTTGGCAACTCCTCTCAGCTTATGACACATATCTCCATATGCCATCACATCAAACGGGGCAATCTATTATTAGTACTCAAGCCTTATCTTTTCTAGTAACCTCTCTGCTTTTTACTTAGTGTCTAATTTGAATTGTATCATGATGTGTATGGTTGGAATGGTAAAGTCTGAATTTAGTAGGGATTTTGCACCCTAAGTCTAAGGAACTTAGATTAGTCTATTGGAATCACATACAAGTCTTAAAGCATAGATCTCTAGCTTTTCCCACTTATACCAAAACTTCTCAATCCCAAATAACTTGAAAATAAGATGAAGAGAGAGAAAAAATAGGTAGAAATCTTACCTAAGAGTTTGAATGTCCAAGCTAGCCTTTAAGATCACCTTTATACTTGCCTTAGTAGAGCCTTACTTCTTCTCCTTCCAACTTTCCTAAAACTTCACTTCTCGTCTGATTTACAAAATTGATTTACTAGTTATACATTCTAAAAATGTGCCATGTGCCATAGTGCTGCTTGCTTATGCTATGGCATGTGGGACAATGATAAAAATTGCACTTGTCTCAAACCATCCAATAGGATCTAATCCAATCTTCATCCAATAGCTTGACCATACAATTGTCTAATTGTCCAAAACACCTATTAGCAATTCGATAACACATTTAATTAAATTAATTGACATTTACTAATTCTACTCTTAATTAAAAATTAAGCACTAAATTTAAACTCAGTTAAACTCTCCAAAAGAACCTCTTTGTAATTTCTATTAAGCTGTTCTTTACTTTTTCAAAATAAGGAAGGTTATTCTAGAATAAGCATGAAGATTCATGCTTTGTTTTTGTGATAGATTCTAAAGTTTTTGAAGCTTCATTGATTCTTATTTCTCTACTTCCTTTGAGTTGTGTTAGCTCTCTAATCATCCTAGAAATCTTTTAAACACAACTTCAATTAGATTAAACACTTTTTGCTCTTATTCTAAAAATCCTTATTCTTTAATTGCTATGAAAGAGAAACTCTACTGTAAAGCATTGTGCCATTGAGTCTTTTTGGCAAAAGCTTAAAAGAGAGAAGATGATGACTAATGTCTATATTCATGAGTCTAACGAATTATTTATGAAGCCCAACTATAAATAGAAGCATTTATAAAGACAATGAAAAAAAATGCAAACAAACGAACAATAATATTTATTTCATTAATTATTTTGCCAACTTTCTAATTTTATATTCATTACAAGTGAGCTTTACTAATTGTATCAACTCTTAAAGTGAGTGTTTGATAAAGGTAGTTCATTTTTGAACTTACTCTATACACATTTGTTTTTCTTTCTTGAGACAGAGGATCTTAAACACGAAGGTATAAAAGGGATTAATCATTACCTTTATAAGGGGAGTAACTTAGAATTTAATATAAGTTTGGGATTATAATGAGGCTACCAAGAGCTCAGATTAATCTTGGTGAAGTTAGTGGAGAAAATCTCAAGTGGTACTTAGTAATATCTTTCTTGCTCTCTATTATAAGCAAGATTCTCTTCCTTACTTTCTGTTATGATTGGTGATAACTTTTTAAACTCATCTCTTTGAATTTATTATTAGATAAATTTTTTATTAAGCTCAATTTAGCCCCTCTTAGGCAAACTTTCAATTGTTATTAAAGCTTGGTTGCTTAAATTTGATTTAATCATCAAAGTATAAAGATACTATTAATGGTTAATTGTATACATGATAACCTCAGAAAAGGATTGTCCAAAACTAGACTACTTGCCTTCAAGGGGTGAAGACTATCACTTTTTGATATTGAAATGGTAGACATCATCACCAAGGGCTTGTATGTTCTAATGGCGGTTGGAGATGATGGGCTAATGAGAGAAAAGAGAAAATAAGAATGGAGTGATGAGGATAAACAACTTGTTAATCTTAATGCTAAGGCCAAGCTTATTATAACTTGTGCACTCAACTATGTTGAATATTATCATGTTACTCATTGCATGACTAACAGAACTCATTTATTACACATTTGTTATGCTAATTATGATCATTAATCATGTGTTATTAGCTCAAAGAATACACAATTTTCTTTAGACTATTAAGTTTATTTTGGTCTAAAAAATAAACTCATGAGAAAATGTAAAAGAAAATTTGACAAAGTGTATTTCAAGTGAAATAAAAGAATGGTCAGATTAGTTTTTACAAATTCATTTTATTTTGGGAGTAATTAAATAAAACTCGACAATTTTTATTGACTTTTTCAAGTATGTTCATTTTACCTAGTTTTAGGTTTGTAATTGTGTGCAAGTGGGATAATCATAGTCACATGCCCCTATAAAGTTCCCCACTATTAGCTTCTCCTATGACTTTACTTCTTTGGGCACTAGATCTTTTACTTCTTCTCCTATCATTAATGTAACATGCCCATTTTTTTATAATTCAAAAAAGAAAGGGAGAAGTGCCCGTTTGAAGTGGCAAAGGACTATGATATAATAAGAAATAAAGTATGTTAAGGTTATGAAGTAAGGTCAGCTAGTTAAGGAAAGCTCAGGTCATGAAATTGCTTAGCTGTTAATTAATTAAATTAAGTAGTAGTGAGGCTCAGGTATAGATCCTTCTATTGTGGACCGAGACCACGTAAAGGTAGAACACCATGGAAACTTTGCTTACTTTATCATAAACCTTGATTTTGCTACGCTTAATAAGAACTCAAAATAGCAAAAATTGATTTGTGTTCTGCTTCTAAAGTTAGTCTCCTTTACCTAAGTGTGAACTATAGATGACTCTCCAGTGGTTCCATTCCTTCATACTTTACTTCGAGTCAACTCAACCCGAATGGGAAGAAGAAGGTAAGCCAAACAGTGGTTTACTTTGTACATTTACTGAGGCAGACTAATCGAGCATTTTAGAAAAGCGAAGGGTACTTTTTATCGAAGGCTCTTAGATTAATAAAACAACACTTACCCCTATCGACCACTGTTAAAGATCTTAACTCTTCAAGTTTGTACCAAAACTATTGGGTTTGTAATCAAAAGAGAGTTAAAGATCTTAACTCTTGAAGTGTGTACCAAAACTATTTTGGACAGCTTTATGTGCCTATCACTTAGAAAATTTTAATAAATTCTCCCTTCTAAATATGAATGCAAGGCTGCAATTTAATTAGATTTTAAGATGTCACATTTTATTAAATTAAATCATGTGTATTTTGTGACATAGGTGAGACGTGCACATATATATCAATTAGGCAAGTGTGCCAAGGCTTTAAGGAGTTGAACGCTAATTATTTAGGCATCATTTGTTATAATTGGTCAGAGTAGATCTAATTAAATTATTGATGATACATGAGATTAAGTTGACACACTTTGAAATTATCTACAAGCCACTGAGGATATGCCACCTTGCAAGCCTCTTCCATGTGACTTAAATCCACTTACATTTTTATTTTAATTATCTTTAATTTTAATCATTTTGGAAATAAAAAATAAAACATTCTATGCATGCCATTCATATAGAAATTTATAATAAAAAATTCATCTCGAAGCCATTCTCTCATTTTCTCTTGTTCTTCATTGTTCTTCCATTGAAACCATTTGGCCACCCTTGAATCACCATCAATTCTCTCACAAACCTCCATAAAACAGACCACTCTCTTCCTTTCACCTTGTCCATCCATTCCCTAGCACTCTCCTCAAGTTGCAAAGCTTCAAATCATCATTTTAATGGCTAAAGAGTTCAGATACCTCATAAAGATAATGAAGGCCATAAAGATGCAGATGAGAGGCTAGGCACCTTTGGAGGAATCTTAAAGAAAGGAAGATGAAGGATGAATGATGAGCTCTACATAGCTAAGCTTTCCTAAATTCCTAGCTCTTCTCTTTTAACTTGATGATTAGATACCTTAATTGAGGATTTAATTATAATACCCTTGTAATTCTAATTTGAATTTAATCCTTGTGTAAAGAGAAGATGTTTGCAAAATTACTTTCTCTCTTATTTATTCATGGTTGAGTTTGGCCACCTCTTGGAATTATGCATAATTTTATGTTTTTCAATTGGTGAATTGCTTACTTTAATGTTACATAATCTTCTAATGATGATGCTTGTCACATTGAGTATCTTTACATAATCTTATGGCTACTCATAATTTTTTTCATGGGCATGGTACATAAGGGGAGAATTAATGGTCACACTTGTCCAAAACTTACACCAATTAGTGAAATAAACTAAGAACTTTAATTTAAGACCTAGGGAATTGAACTAGTTAGGTTGATTAACTTTGAATAATTTTCCTTAACCAATTCGGTCAAAGGGAGTTTAGAAGCATTAATTGGCTCAATTATTAAGAAAATAAGGATTTCAATATCAACCAATCATTAGGGTTCCAACTCATTAAAGGGAATTTCCATTTCACGTACTTTAGATTAGAAGTTTGCACTTTGTTTAGTAGTTTTATAGAAACCAATCTCAACATTTGGGTGACTTATTTTACTAGTTAAACTTGATATTAGATTTTAGTCACTCACTAGGGAGATATGTTGAACCTTTTCTACATTCAAGGTTAATTCTAGCACTATTTTGAATGTGTGTGTGATAGTCAAGTCAAAATTTGGCACCATCACCAAGGAGTGTGCTAAGTTTGATTTTGAGGTTGATTTAGCATTTAATTTTCATTTTTGAACAATTTCTATGTTTCTAAATTTTTCTAGAAATTTTTCAAAAATAAAAAACAATTGTGTTTTACATTTTGTGTTTTGTGTGTTCGTTTTAATTCTAAATTTGAATTCTAGGTGTTTAAATTGTTTTCTTTAAATTTTTAGTCTTATTTTAGGTTTTGTGATTTTTGTGTTTTTGTGTCAAAAGTTTGAAAAAAAATTGTATTTCAAGAAAAGAGCTAGACATCAAGTGAGCAAATTCCAACATTGTCTCTATTTCTAGCATTCCTAACCCAATTTCAAAACTTCACTAGGAATGCCTCAGGAGGAGTTTTGACTAGAGATTTTATTCATTGGAAAGCTACACTTCTTATCTTCAATTCAACAGTAGTTTTATCAATTTTAAAAATTAAACCCATTCTATGCCCATTTTACAAGCCAACAAGGTCTAGGAAGCCTTTTCAGAGGATTCTAAAACCCTAAGGTGTCTTTGAGTGATTATATCTCTTACTTTATGTGTCCAAATTACTTGTTCTTTTCTTAAATTGTTCCTTATTGTCTTATCTCTATTTCTTGTTTTGGTCATTTTCAATAGTTGTGCCTTTAACCTATTTGAAAGAGTGTTAGATTCTTATAAGGTCACCTGGAGGAAATTTTGATTCTCCAAAGCTATTGACCAAATTGTGTGAAGTACAAAATTCTCTCTCTATTGCAATTATATTGTTAGTAGATAGGTGAAGATTCATTGACTTTTGAGTTGGCAATTTTAAACATTTATTTTGTTTTTTTTTACTTGTTTTAAGTGAGTTGTGGGACTCATATTGTTTTCATCAATCCATACACATATTTGCACAAAACATAATTTATCACATTGCCAAATTTCCACTAAACACAAGTTAATCTCTATCATGATTTATAAACAAATTCATTTAATGTACAATCAATTAATAAGAAATTATACAACTAAATTTTTCCCAATTATCTCAAACCTTTGAGAGGTCAAAGGTTTAGCCTTCAGCTACTAACACTTCCAAAGCTTTCCTCAAGCTTAAATGGTGCTAGAGAGTGATTAAATCTACAACTAATCAAATCATTCATTAATAATATCCTTATTAGTATAAATCTCAGTACTATAGTTGAGGTCTTCTAGTCCACATAAAATACAATCTCTCACTTTCCAATATACCCATAGGGTTTACTCAATTCTCTTAACTTTTATTGTCATAAATGAACCATTAAACTACCGTTAATGGCTTCAAAACACCTCCAACAACTCTATTTATGCCAATTTTTGGATATTATTGGCACTTACTAATAAACCTTTTATTAGGTTAGGTTTAGATAGTCTATATAACACTCATTAACTCTATTTAAATTAATGGGTTCGAACCTATAGTCTCTATGGACCAAAAATCTCTTTCCTAACTCAAATCTTCAAGAAGGTGAAAGAGAAAGGGAAGAAGAAGCTTAGTATACTTACCTTGGGTGTTATCTAGCTCTAATTCACTCCTAAACCTCTAATGTAGCAAGCCCTAGTAGAGAAATAAGCCATGCTCTGTAACATCCCAAATTTTCTAATTCATGCATTAATGCTAATTAAGGAATGAATTAGTGAATTAACATGAGATTAGGATTTTTGTTGGTGAAGTGTTGTTTTGACTCTCTGGGATGTTATATAAACATATTTGAGTGGGAAAATAGTGTTGCAAAGTAGAGCGTGTGAGCACGGTGAGGAATTCTCCTCACTATGCCATGCACTGCGGTGCATGGTGCAGAAACTTGGTAAATAAGCACGTGTTAGCTCATGAAAAATAGAAGAAAATTAAGAGAAATAGGCTCAAGCATGGAGAAGAAGGAGACCCTTACTAGGGCAACAAATATCGGGAGCAAGAATGATGTTTCCAACTTGTTACTTATTGGGTAAGTCTTGTACTGCTTTAACCTCCAATTCTACTCTATTTTCTCTAAGTTTAAGCTATTGAGAAATTGAATTTGGAAGTTTTAAGGAGTTGATTTCTTACCCTATAGTAATAGAAAGGTTCTTTGGGACTAAAATAGACCTTTTTGACTAGTTTGAGTCTGAACGATAAAGCTTTAAAGCTATAGGCTCAAATTAACCTAATTTAGAGAGAGAAAACTCAAAGGAATTTAGTAGTTAGTGTGTTAGTACTTGAATTGAGTAGTGATAGGGTGTAGAAAAGTGGAAATGGACACGAGTAAAGGAAATGATAACGGTTAGGTGCTAGATTGCTATAGTTGGCATTGTTTGCCAATCAAGTAATTGACTTGGGGTGTCTTAATTTGTGTAGATTCTTGTGTGTGATGTGTTGAAATCATGAGAAGGAGTTTAAATGAGGTTTTGGAACATGAAAAACCCTTTCTTGCAAACATAAGGGTTGCTATATAATTCATTATGTTTATTAGCTATTATAACTGTGTAGAAGTAAATTTAAAATTATGCATTTATTATTTTATAAGTTTTTATGCATGATTTTGACATGTAAACGAGTTTAGCATGAAATTGATTTGTGAAAATAAAGTTTGATGATTTCTGACTTTGTTTGATATATATTCACATATATATGGTATAAAGTATGGAATTGAGATGAATTATGTGAAAAAGCATGATCATAAGGGGTAGGAGTTCACCTAGGGTATGTGTGGATGTTTGTGCATAGAGATGTGACTAAATAAATCCATACAGTCGAGCTGACACCATAGGACATCTGGTACATCATTTTACAAGCTGGTACTATGGGTAATACAGTATAACATTATATTAGGACTGTTACCATAGGACATTCAGGTAGTCTGGCAACTCGCTAGTGCCCATTAAGGTGCAATTAAGAGTCAACGATGCCTTTATCACAAGTGTGTGAGATGAAGGACATCATAGTCCAAAGGTAGGATAGATTACCTTTGGCCAGGTGTTTCTACCACTGAAGGTGTGTTCGGGTCAATATATGATTGATCCATTAAAGCCCTAGGTTTTATATCGAGGAGCTTTGGAAGATCGGTGCATACATGATCATGCTAGTAAATGTGATTGCGTGAAATGTTAGAAAAGAGAACAGCTATATGCAAAACTATGTTATAATGTATATAACCTATTACTTGATTTTATTTACTTTCATATGGTTATTTGTGATAGTGACCATTTATAATCTATATTGGTTACTGAGATTTTAATCTTACCC